TAAAATATATTTTTTTTAAATAAAATATATTTTAATGACCTGTAAAATGTGATAACCTTGATCTGTGATGTTGTTGTTGTAGTGTTAACAATTTATGGCAAAATATTGCATCCSTTTTTGATATTCCTTACGTGACCGACGGCTGCATCTGATTAATACCAGCATTCGTGAATTTTCCCGAGTCAAAACTCAGTGCAGAGAAATGGCACCTGTGCGTCACGCYGTAAGTCACGTGATCCAGTCCAGTAATACAGATCAATGGTTCAGAGGAGAGAAACTCACTGATCACTTTTTTTACATTATTTATAACTTTTACTGTTTTTAAAGTTAAACAGTTTATCCAAACTGTTGGTTTTAAAAGAAAAATAATTTCTGAACAAATTTTAATCAGTTTTGTTCATTTGGTCAACTTGTGCAATGTGACAAACATTGAACCGTTTTACTGAGTTTAGGTTAATTACCATATTTTCTGGACTATAAGTCGCTCCGGTGTATAAGTCGCAGGACAAGTCAAACTGTGGAGAAAAAAAAAAAAGTGCGGCTTTTAGTCCGGAAAATACGGTACCTGTAATTATTAAACATGCCCACCCTGCCACTTGTAGCTCTTTGCAAAATGGCGGCACAGATTCTCGTCTCGTTCCGTTTTTATTGTTTCTGGTTCGACATAGAGACGCAGAAAATCTTCATGAAATCCTGGATGTTTCAGGTTGAGATGTTCAAATCGTCTTCATGAGATGAATGCAGTGTTTATTTTTTCTACCTTCAGCCTTGAACGCAGCTGGTTTGAATCACGGTTTATTCAGTCTTTTTGTTTGTTAAAGGTTTGGGTTTTTGTGTCAAATAAAAATCACGCCTCTATAAGATGAAGGAAAACGCAGCAGTGACAAAAAAAAACAACTTTTTTTTCTTCTTATTCTGAAAATATTTTGTTACCAGAAAAGTTTGAGAGTTTTTGTTTCATCTGGTAGTTTTAGCCGTAGTGCTTCAGATCCAAACGCCTTTAAAGACTCRGAGATTCTGAAACTGAAGTTTTGTCAAATAGTTTTGTATTTAAACTAAAATACAAAGAAAATCTTTGTATTTTTTTATTTTGAAAGGACCTGACTGGTTTGGGCAATCCTGACCTCTGATTGGCTCCTGCTTCATCTCGTTTGCTTCCTGATTGGCTGCTGTGGGTTTAGGTGTTCTGCGCACCATAAAGAAAAATCTTTATTTATACAGAAAAGTTTCAGCCGTCTTCAATTTCTGTTGATTCAAAACCAAGAATCATCAAGCATCTTTTTTTTTAAAAAACGTGTAGTTTATAGAAGTTTTCTCTTCCTGTTGATTATATATGTAAATAAATTTTCAAATGAAAGAGCTTCCTGTGTTTTCACACAAAATCACATCAAAAAACGCAGCAACAGGCTAAAACAGACAGTTAATTCAGTCCCAACATAAAACATCACCACATTAAAAGCCCTCAGTACACATCATCAATACAACCAGGGTAAAAAATACTCTTTAAAGTACAAAAATACAACCATGAAGTAAAACATCTGTACAGGATCCTGCAGGGAGGTCAAAGGTCAAAATCCAGCGCTCCTCCTCCTCTTCGCTGTCACTGAGAATTCTCCTGAAACAAGAAGTTCAGACAAGTCAGAGTTAAACCTCAAATGAACCCTGGCAGAAAAACTCTTAAATTATTATTTATATTTGTGGGTTTCTGTGTGGACAGGAACCAAACCAGAACTGARCTCTGTCACCTTTGGGTCCCTGAGCTCCAGGAAGGCCTCGTTCACCTGCGTTCATACAAACAATGTCAAAACTGTTGATGAGACTTTAAACACTTGTAACACATAATCCTGAACGTTCTTCAAAGATTCTACAATAAATTTGACCTTTTGGTCCTTTCGGTCCAGGATGTCCCGCCTCCCCTTTCAGTCCTGGTCTCCCCGGTGGTCCCACAATGGCTCCATGGTCTGTGGAGGAGAGATGTTATACAGAAACAAAATATTAACTTTCATTTACATTTTAATWTATAAAAATGATTGTTTTCTTATCTATTTCAGCAAACTGAAGAAGTTACATCATTTTAGTAGCTAAAACATCACATTGATCAGATGCTGCTGCTGACTGATCCATGATGTGATGTAAATGTAACATTTTCTACATATAGGTCAAATTAATCACTGCAATAAAATAACTTTGTGTGTTTTTGTCACTTTTACAGTGGATTGCATCAACTCTGTTACATCCAGAAGGGAAACTTCACCAAAGTGAAACATAAATCAGTGGATCTGTGTTTGATTACTCTGCCTGGCTTTCTCAAGGACCAGGATGTGACACAAAAATCTGAATTATGGAACTGAAAGTGAAAGTAGTCAAACAGAATTTTTAATAAACCAAAATACAGTTTCAAAGCAAATTAATTCAGATACAAAACTTTAAATTCAGTTTCAAATTAGTAAAATTCATTTTCAAACCAATGCATTCAATTTCAAATTATGAACATTCAGATTCAATCTGAGCAATTCAAATTCACTTCCTGCTGAAACAAGATTGATCCCATACAAGTGTCTTTGAATGTGATTTACTCAAGCAAGTTTTCACTCACTTTTAATTAATTCTATCAGTTCTGTGCTGTTTCCATGAGAACTGGACCATRTGCTGTTCCCTGAGGGACCTGGGGGTCCTGGTGGTCCTGGAGGTCCTTGTACAATGTCCTCCAGAAGACCGTGTGCTGCAGATGAAGACAGAGATGTTTAAAGTTTATGGTTTAATATGTTTACAAATTTATTCATTTAAATCACCAACCTTTGATGTAATCAGTTACTTTTCCAGCCAAGATGGAGTAGTRGGGGGTGTCACCAGGAACACCTGGCTCTCCCTTGTGTCCTGGGGGTCCTGGGGGTCCTGGTTGACCAGGAAGTCCAAACATGGCTCTGCTCAGACCGTCTTCAGCTGGAACAAAAACAAAACTTGTTTCATTAAATGAAAGTAAAACTGGCTTAAAGTGAGGCGGTGGAGCAGCGGCTGCAGCTGTCGCCTCACAATAAGAAGGTCACAGGTTCGCCTCCTGAACCTTCTGGGTGGAGTTTACGTGTTCTCTCTCTGCATTGGTGGGTTTTCTCTCAGGTTCAGGACTCAGCTCTCAATTCTGAGTCAGTAAAATCTCTGAAACTCACTCCGGACGTATTCCTCTCGTTCAGCCTTCAGCTTCTCTCCAGCTATGGGGTCTGTAAACGAGACCATCTGTCCAATGGGACCAGGGGGGCCCTCAGGTCCAGGGGGTCCTGGAGGGCCTCTAAAGGAAACACCTACAGGGAAGCAACAGAAACGTTTTGTTCTCTCTTCATGTAATTAAAAACCTCTCTTCCTCAGAGACTGAGACAGTCCTGCAGAAAACAGGAGGAGGTCTCTACAGGACCTGGATCAGGTTCTGGACACATGGTTTTTAGTTTTTGATGGTCTGGTCTGACATATTTAAATATCTGCTGGAACTCACTCTGCAGGTAATCACGAATATCTGAGCTGACGTAGCTCCCAAATCCTGGAGTTCCAGGTGGTCCAGGCGGACCTTGTGGTCCAGGAGTACCTGGTGCACCAGGAGGTCCCGGAGGGCCAACAAGGGATTGAAATCCAGCTGGATGAAGACAGGAACAAACGTGAGTTGATCCTCTCGCTCATCTAAAAGACCTGGATCTGGTTTGTTTACATCATTGTTGTGTTTCTTACTTGCTAACAGGTTTCCAGGGGGTCCAGGAGGCCCAGGAGGTCCAGGAGGACCCGACACCCCCCTCTCTGGTGACAGACAGGACCAGAATCAAACAGGAGCACAAAACTTTCAGGTCACAGATAAAGCCAGCAGAAATCCTCACCGTTCATCAGACTGTAGACCCGTTCAGCAAGATCCTGGGTGTTGAAGGGGTAGCCACCAAAACCTGGACCTCCAGGAGGTCCTGGTGGACCAGGTGGACCTGTAATGTAGGCCCTGACGTCTTCTCCTYGAGACAGTTGAGGTTAAAACCTGCTGCGTTTATTTACTGGATCTGAAGTTTGGGTTATTATTACAAAAATAACGAGTTTATTTTCTGTCAGAGACTCACGCTGCAACACATTGATGATGTCATTGACGGAGACGGGTCCAGGTGGACCAGGAGGACCAGGGGCTCCTGAACCTGAACCTAAATAAACAAAAAATAGTTTTTTTGCACTAACAAACAAACATTCTGTTCAATGAAAATGTAACAATTTGATGAAATACTCTGAATGTAGGCGATGACTCTGCTGGCAACATCATCCACAAGTCCATCTTCTGATGGACCAGAAGATCCTGGTTCCCCTGGAGGTCCAGGAGGCCCAGGAGGCCCAGCCAGGTACTGTCTGATGCCYTCACCTGAGGTTCAGAGATCCTGTCTTAGTTTTTGGTTTTATCTGTGTTTCAGAAACAACAAACGCCAAAGGAAGACTTACTCTGAAGATAGTCTGCTATGTACTGGCCCACATTGCCCGGTTCAGTTCCAGGTGGACCAGGTGGGCCTGGTGGACCAGGTGGGCCTGGAATATATGAGCTACCTGAAACAACATTTTGCTTTAAGATGCAGTTCCTGTAACGACCACTAGATGTCACCAAGACCTTCAAACACATTAAATTTTCTTTTTACAATTAAAATCCTTCTGTTTTTTCTATCAGTTTTTAGATTATTCTGAATTATATTTTAACTTTTAATTTGGTTTTATAGTCCTCATAAATGCCTCAATGAACGTAACGTAAGCTGAGAGCGGCCATTTTCTGCATATAATTATTTTCCATGGTTTTCCACCATGGTGAAGCGATTTACCAGTCTGTCTACGTTCCTACCCTCATCTATGGTCAGGAGCTTTGGGTAGTGACTGAAAGAAGGAGATCACAGATACAAGCAGCTGAAATGAGTTTCCTCTGCAGGGTGTCTGGGCTCTCCCTTAGAGATAGGGTGAGAAGCTCAGTCATCCAGGAGGGACTCAGAGTAGAGCCGCTGCTCCTCCACGTCCAGAGGAGCCAGTTGAGGTGGTTCATCTGGTTAGGATGCCTCCTGGACTCCTCCCTGGTGAGGTGTTCTGGACACGTCCCACTGGGAGGAGGCCCAGAGGAAGACCCAGGACACGCTGGAGGGACTATGGTCTGGGAACACCTTGGGATTCCCCCTGACGAGCTGGCCCAAGAGAGAGGGAAGTCTGGGTCTCTGCTTAGGCTGCTGCTCCCAAGACCCGATCCAAGATAAGAGGAAGAAAACGGACGGATGGTTTTCTCAAGAAAACCATCGGGAAATTAACTCGTTAACGATAATGCTGCAAAAACCTTGTAAATCAAATCGAAATGTTGTTTTTTTTATTTTTTTATTTTATTTTTTTTACCAGGCTCAGCTCCCTGGATTCCAGGATCTCCTGAAAGACAAACATAAAAACACAAACTTAAAAGAGGTCAAATMTACTTTTAGAAAGATCCTTCAAAGACCTGGATTTACCTTTAGGTCCTTGTGGTCCCTCTGGACCAGGAGGTCCAGGGAAACCTGAAGATAGAAACCAAACCAGTGATTAAAACTCAAAACCTGAAGGTTCATTATCAAAATAATAACAACGATTTATTTTGTMCTCTTACCAACTCCTGGTTCTCCTGGAAGACCAGGCTGTCCCGGCTCTCCTGAGGATAAAAGCTTGTCGTTAAAGATAATAAATCACATTTTTTTTTATGATAAATAAACAGATTTTCTCACCTTGGTAGCCTTGAGGTCCTTCGTCACCTAAAAATAAATCAAAGTTCTCAGAACCTGGAACTCCTSATCCAGTTGCTGCTGCTGCGTGTTTTAAAGAATCTACACTGAACCTACCTGGTGGACCCTGTGGGCCTGGAGGTCCTGGTGGTCCGGCAAAGAAGGTTTCTGATAAAAAACATGAGTTAAAAGGTCATCCATATTTTATAATCTGTGATCAACCTGGAGTTTATCTGAATGATTGTTTTTATCAACCTGATGTGGGCACAAAGCTGCCYGGCTCTCCCTTCTTCCCTGGAGGTCCAGGGTCACCAACACCTTTTGGGACACAAAAATTTTTAAAACTCTGAGACAGAAAAGCAAACTTTTTAAAATTGTCATGCTGACGATACATTTGTTTCTCTTTGAAGCAGGGTTCAGGCTTACCTGGCTCTCCAGGTGGTCCTCTACGGCCTGGAGGACCTTGTTTACCTTCACCTATACAACAACAACATGGTCAGTTCACGTTAAAGCACTGTGATGCTCCTGTTTCATATTTACATACCAGGAGGACCCTGAGGACCAGCTTGTCCTGGAGGACCTGGTGGTCCTGGTGGACCTGCAGGTCCGGCTCCTGAAACAAATAAAGTTTTATGACAAATGACACCACTAGAAGTCAGCAAACGTCGACATCCAAGAGCTAATAGTAGGCGGTTACCTGGTTCACCACGTTGACCTTGCTCTCCTTTATCTCCTTTCTCCCCAGAATCTCCTTTTGGACCTAAATAAATAATTTAGCAYCAAATAGTTCAGTCAAAGATAATTGCCTTATTTATCTCAGATATTTGCCACGGATCTGGAGTCACCTGGTTGTCCTGGAACWCCAGCAGGACCAATGGGACCAGATAAACCAGGAAGTCCTGCAGGACCCGGAGGCCCAGATGGTCCTGGAGGTCCAGGGATGGCCACAGTATCAGAAGTAACTATAAAGAAGGAGACGGTACAGAACCCAGTTTTATTAAGTCCTGCTGGGTTTAAACACGACGTCAGAACCAGAAGTGTTCTTACTTGGACCGATGACTTTCCCAGGTGATCCTGGTTCACCTGAGGAGGAATATTTGAAACAAACATTAGTTTTAGAACCTGTACAGAAGCTATTTTTGCAGTCTGGTACCTTTGCTGCCAGGCTGTCCTGGGTTTCCTGCGAGTCCTGCATCAAGAACAGGTCAAATAAAAACTCTGAGCTTCAGGAAGTAAAAAAGATCTGAGGCTTCTTTTCTCACCTGGAGGTCCCTGCTGCCCKGGAGAACCTGGAGACCCAGCAGGGTGGAACATTAGAAAACTGTTTTTATTTTWGTGAAGTGATTTAAAACCTGAAATAACTCTGAAAGCTGAGTCTGTACCTGGAGGACCAATATCACCAGGAAGTCCTGGTGGTCCTCTAGCACCAGGAGGTCCCATGGAGCCCGTTTCACCTTCAGGCCAAACACATGAGTTAACGACACCATGTGGGTCAGATGTTCTGCAGAACTTCTCCAAGAAGGTTCTTCTCACCTGCACTTCCTTTTGACCCCATTGGTCCTGATGGGCCTTGTGGTCCAGATGTTCCAGGTTCACCTTCAAATAAACTTTAACTTTAGCAAAGGGGGACAACCTATCTCCTGAACCAGTGGACAGGTTTTAGCGAGACTGCTGAAAGACTAAGGTGTGTTTWAGAGGTCTGGATGTGTGAGACAGACCTGCTGGTCCACGTGGTCCTCTTTCTCCTTGATCCCCTTTGGTTCCTGGCACCCCTGGAGCTCCTCGGTCACCTGCAGAACGGACATTTAGTTAAATGAGTTAAAACTTCTGATTTCCCTTTGGGATCAATAAATTCTTATTGAATTGAATTGAATTGAATTGAATTGAATTGAACAAAAAGTTACAGTACCTTTTGGTCCTGAGGGTCCAGCTTCACCATTGAAACCCTTTGGACCAGGAGCACCTGGATACAGTTAATCAATATATGACGTTTGTCAATCAAACAACCAAACAGCCATCCATCCATCCATTCATCCATCCAACCAACCAACCAGCCAATCAATCAACCAACCATCCATCCAGCCAATCAACCAACCAACCATCCATCCAGCCAATCAACCATCCATCTATCCATCCATCCATCCATCCATCCATCCAACCAACCAACCATCCATCCAGCCAATCAACCAACCAACCATCCATCCAGCCAATCAAGCATCCATCTATCCATCCATCCATCCATCCATCCATCCAACCAACCAACCATCCATCCAGCCAATCAACCAACCAACCATCCATCCAGCCAATCAAGCATCCATCTATCCATCCATCCATCCATCCATCCATCCAACCAACCAACCATCCATCCAGCCAATCAACCAACCAACCATCCATCCAGCCAATCAAGCATCCATCTATCCATCCATCCATCCATCCATCCATCCAACCAACCAACCATCCATCCAGCCAATCAACCAACCAACCATCCATCCAGCCAATCAAGCATCCATCTATCCATCCATCCATCCATCCATCCATCCAACCAACCAACCATCCATCCAGCCAATCAACCAACCAACCATCCATCCAGCCAATCAAGCATCCATCTATCTATCCATCCATCCATCCATCCATCCATCCAACCAACCAACCATCCATCCAGCCAATCAAGCATTCCTTCTGACCAATCAAGCATCCATCCTTCCTTCCATCCATCCATCCATCCATCCATCCATCCAACCAATTAACCAACCAACCATCCATCCAGCCAATCAAGCATCCATCTATCCATCCATCCATCCATCCATCCATCCAACCAACCAACCATCCATCCAGCCAA